TAAGACCGTACATTTATGCAAAATGAACTGATGCGTTCCATTCATATGATTGTTTCACGATGATCTGTAATTCTCTCATTTGCTCAGATCTCCATTTAATGGTATCTTGATGAGTTATCCTTCTTCCCATTCTGCCAGCACTTTTACTTTATCCCAAATCTTCTTGAATTGAAGGTGTGGCATGTTTGCAGTTACTTCAATATCTGACCTCAGTGCTTCTAGATCATCATCTTCAAAATCCTTATCAGCATCAGCTTACTCACATTCATTGTGGAGGTCATGTTCATATTTCCGAAACTTATGTTAACACTTCCAATAGTGAATTGCTTTACATTTATTCTTCATTTATTCTGCCGATCAATATTCCGTATGACGTAACTTATTTCGCAGATTATTCTTCTATTCTACTTGATGTTTGACACTAGTTTTTAGAATTTCAAGCAATTTATTTCTAATTTCCATCAGGGATGCATACGAAATTCAATGCTAGTCTGATGCAAATTTATTTGAAAGTTGGATTTTATTGAAATTAGTGGTTGCCATGTCTCTAGTATTCTTTGGCGATGGATTGATTATGTGAGTCCAATAATAGATTACTGAGCATCAGCCGATTCAATGTTTATCTAGTACCCAGATGTGAATGGATTCTATCATTGTAGTCAGAAAAATCGAAGTGAATAAGTGTTTGTGAGGAAAATCGCGATTCGATCGAATCAGAATAACATAGGATGGATTTCTGATTCAGGATCAGTTAGCAATTGACTGTTCGAATATCTGAATTTAAACGTGTTCATCTGTGAGAAAGACTGGAGTAGGTTGTGAACAACACAACAACTTCCGATATGCAAATGATCCACATCAAGCATATCTGATTTATAAGCAAGCCAAACAGATCACATCACAACGTATAACTGTAAATCACATTTGTACATGGTCAAGCCGTAAAGTTGTCATGATTGTGGACTACTGCAATTAGGAGAGTGTAAATAACTTAGGAATCGTAAATCTCATGATAATTGTGAGTCAAAATGAAGCTGCCGACAAGGAGGACACGAACGTCTACAGTCTAGTTGTTGAGACATTATGCAATAAGAATGTAAATAATATTCGCCCATCAATATTTCACAGAATTTGATTATAATTTAATCTTCACTAGGATATAACGAAAAGGGACACTGACGAGTTTCGAAGGCTTCATTTAGTTTGGTTGAGTTTTCGGTAGATGAATAAATGCATGACGGTACTCGCCTATATTTTACGTTAATGAGGTTAACCAGAAAATAATATTTGAGTTCAGTGAACCGAAGTTGTCAGATGGTGACCATAAAACGTGTGAAAAAGAAGAATAAGAGCCTTCACAGACGGGGTTTGGTGTAAACGCGACACAGTAATTTCGGAAAACATGTTTATAACAGAAGAAACAATGCACATACATAATGCTAGTGAAAAAAACGGACAGATAAAAGCAATAAAAAGAACAAATTTTACAATTCATAATACAGAACGGACTTACTGAATTGCACCCTCTTCCATAGTGGGTGCATAAGCAAAGTTAACCATAATCGAAATCGGTTGCATGTTGGTTTCTATACTTTCATAAATTATCTAGCTTGCACTTGATGACATTATCTCGAAAGCAACATCTGCCGCGTATATGTATTATGTTGGAGGTGGAATGCAGCCTTAAGCAAGACGTATACTCAATTATCTTCACAGATTTAAATGGAAGACTTGTATTCTAGATAATTCTATATGACTTGTATTGCTAGACTGATTTGAAATAAGATAATTGATTATTTCAGTGTTTACTCATAACTGAATCAAGACCATCTATGAATTGATGACAAACTATCTGCTTTCACTTCATTTTGTCTTGACAATAGTATTAGTCATATGTAAAATGAAATTTTCATTCATTTTTTCGTTTTGTATTTGTCAAAGATGATCGGTCAGTATTTGTAGAGAGTGGCATCCCTCATTATAATGACAGCACATATCATGCTCATTAAACAAAAGAAAATGTCATATCAGAGATGAAATCTGGTGATAAACAACGCGGAATTAAAATGAATGATATTGGAACAACAACAAACACAACGGTCAAGGTTAGCAGACAGATCACACTATCACATAATAGAAACTATTCTTATCATTCACTTAGTATTGTTTGTTTGGATCTTCCCATCGATGTGCTTAGGACTGCAACTGGTCAGTCTCTAAACAAACAAACAATACTAAGTGAACTCAAACTTAACCCCATCGCACAAGCAAGTGGCTATCAGGACTCAGTGGCCGAGTGGATAACGCGATGCTGCTTGAAGCGAGGGTACTGGGTTCGAGTCCGAAAGAGAACATCAACTCTGAGATGCAGGTACATCCAGCTGACGAGTCGAAAATTAGACGAAACGCGCGTCCTGGATTACACTGCTAGCCACTATCCATCTCTGCTTACTATTTTTATCATTATTTTTACTTTTAGAAAAATATTTTCTTACGTGTCAAATAGTATTTATGGTGATTATACGTGATGTTGAAACACATATTGGTGACTGAATCGTCAAGTGACTGTATTCATTTTGAACAGTTTTGAGAGGATGAAAGTAGCACAAGTCCCTTGCTGTTTTAACATTTACTGTTCATCGAGAACAGTGGGTTCCTTTTGATCAAAGTTATCTTCTCAATCACTTCAATTATACTTATGAGCTGTCAAAGACTTTGTGTTTACTAATGATAAAGAGATGTTAAAGGCGATTGTCCATTTAATTGAAATAGAGAAGACGAAATACAAAGAAGCATGGAACGAACAATCGTTCGTAGCTATTACGAAACTGAAATCGCACTCCACTGTCTCTCTGTTTCGCACTGTCAATTAACATATCTTTAGTGTCATTCTCGGAAAACGTTTAATGCATTGTATATAGCTTATCATCTGTTTTGCCTTAAGTGCATATTCTGGCAAATGAATTTATGCATCTCACCAAGCGTAAATTGATCATTGAGACTGTCCTGATTAGATTCCTGCTACAGAAAACAACTTGAAATACGGCAGAATAGAATGCTTTTTAAGGATATGAATAGTCCGTTCTCTGAAATCCACCATGACATGTTTCCTTTGAATTCAATATTCTGTCGTCAATTATTCCTACTATGTATGAGGTTTCATTCAACTTGATATCCTGATTTCAGATAGCAGTCATTAATTGAGATGGTTCTGTTGCTTGTTTCCCGTAGAGTATGTTTAATTATATTAAATTCATCATAACCAATTGTGTTATCACTGCATATTCTTCTGACTCTTGAGGATGGAGAATAGATCGAATTACTTTCCCTACCTGGAGCAACCGAATCCGCAAAGTCAATTCTAGTCCGTTTCTTACTTTTCCATTGAGACTCTCTTCGATGTGTTTCATTATGTTTTGATTATTTTGTAAAACTACTCTGTTTCACCACACACCACTATAGCATCATCACATTTCTACAGCTTCTACCGGAAGATATACGAGGAAAAATAGTGAACGAAATTGACGGTTATTATTAGGAAAACACATTTCAGTTTTGAGCTAGACATTAGAAGTCTTTTCACTGTCATTTTACTAATGGCTTCGAGAGGTTCACCACACACCTTGTCAACTGCTCTCCGTATTTCTCACAATACAGCAAACGCTTTTCATTTAAAGCATGTCAAATGATTATGAAGAAAATTGAAGTTTAAGAGGTTATATACAAGACCTGGCATAACCTTAAAAGCACGTAGCCTCTTTATGTCGTGAAACATACTTCATACTTACAACACATTTACTAATAACAATATGCGAAATAGACATGGCGATATAGGGAGACACTCCACTGAATACTTCATCATCTGAATCGTACTCTTCTCAAGCAAATTAACTGACCTACACTATCACATACACAGATAACTTTTCCTTTCGTAATTAGATATTGGTCAACGGCATTGAATTGACAATACAACACTGAAAACAATTTTGATGTTGATGAATTCACAAAATTACACAAACAGTCTTATTATTCTACAACAAACAGTAATTGTCAAGGTAACAACATTTTTATTAGTGTTCATATCTGTCTAAAGTAAAACAAAACACCTCAACTGTGTCAAGAGGGAAATTTTTTTTAAATATCACGCAAAAACAAACATTCCTGACTTATTTCACCGAAATTATTATTCATTTATGAATGTGTAGAATTTTATTCATTCGTCAGTATTCAGTGTTTAGTGTAAGTTAAGTATACACTTGACATTATCTTATCATGCATTATATGCATAATATTCCTCTGATTACAATGATTTGAGAACTCAATCTATGAAATTGAGCACATTTGATTCTATTTCAATATACTCAATCGGAAAATCATTATCCTTATTGATCTGGACATCTATTGACAGTCAGTGTTATAATGTGGTATACAAATAGAATGGATGTGACATTGTTCAGAAGTTATAATTTTATTAGAAAAAAACGACGATGAAATCGTTTAACAAAATGTGCTTATTGTAAACAAATCCATGTGTAAAAGAGTATTTGTTACCATCCTATCAAAACAATATGTGCTACTTTGATTTTAACCATTCAAATCAAAACAACTCATCGTTGACGAATAATCAATACATTATTACAGACAACAAACTGTTTGTTCGTAAACATATGAGCACACATTCTGAACTACAATTTAACCAATCACCTATTTCAAAATATCGTCTATCACATCTAAGAGAAGTTTTATCCACAGAGGTCAGGAAATTCAACCAACTGTGAATAAATTTCAGCTCATGATTTCAACAGCCAGAAGAATATTGGTTTACGATAATGTCATATACCTCCATGATTGGTTTATAATGAACATCTGATTTTATAAATTCAATCTTCCTAATGGTTACTTTGAATCATCGAATCAGAAGAGAACAACTTTACACTTCAAAAGTCTATATAAACCCGACAAATTCTATAAAAATTTGATTTATAACTTGACACGATAAGATGAGGTAAGTATTGAATGAACATAGGAACTGAAATGGAAATTTGATTGAATGAGATACTGTTGAATTGTCAATCCTGATCATTTTAGATATAACTTTTCGCCTAGTCAATGGATACTAATTTATCTTATCTTCGTTTGGCCCTACAAACGTTTCAACTGCAATGGCATTTGCACAAACAGTGGTTTGCAACGCTATGAGAACGTCACTTTTGAGAATGATTCCTATCGATATGTAAGTAATCAGTTACATTCTAATACACATATTCAAGTCTCTTCATTATAATTATTCAATGAGGATTCAACATAATCAACCTCAACCAGTTTCGAGTGAACGTTTTAAAAATAAGATAAATGGCAAATACGTGAGTTGATTACACTTTATAATAAAGATATTTTCCATATGTCTGCAACATTTTAGGAGGCTTATCTTCAATTCTCGTGTACTTATTACGGTAGTCACGTACAAAAAATTCATTTTTACGAAGATTGTAAGTCATAAATTTTCTTTGAAGTTAAATTCTTGATAAGTTTTGTTGATGCCATTTCTTTTAATGAATCAAAGTTGATTCCATTTTCTTCAGTGAATCAGCTTTGTGCTCCTTGTAACGTGCAACCTTTTTTCAATATTTTTTTTCATTGTTCAACATGGTAATGGATTGACTCGTTGTAGCAAACCAACTACAGTTCAGTTTTATTATTTAAAATTGTTTATTCATTCGTTACAAATTTATCAATAATGTGACATGTTTTCATCCAATAAATACAGATGAATATATATATGGAAGTTTCCAAATTGGAAAAATTATTAATTACATAAAAAACTATAAGAAGTCTGAATCGGAAGTTTTAAATGAGGGTGAGTTCTTATATTATTCAGTTATTCTTTGTTTTGATCACTTTTCTCACACTTATTTTGTATAAAAGATTCAGTATTTATCTTGATGATTAAAGGAGTTGCAACCAATACAAAGTGATTGTTGTGTTTGTGTTGTTTTTGCAACAGAACGTGTGTGTATCGAAGCAGGTGCTGAATGCTGTAAAGTGAAATTGGTAAATTAAACAGAGATCTACCTGAAATTATACACTTTCATCGAATAGAAATGATAAACCATGTGATGTAATTGCGGAAGTGTAAATTACCAACCCTCCGGTCTATGAAAACTACAAAACAGAAAATATCTCATCCACATGATACTTCATGGTAGACTGAGTGATTAAAAGTGATTGCTTGTGCAATAGTAAGCTATGTTGTGAGAGAAGGCGGTTTGGATTATTGAAGCCTATGAATTATCAAGTTATATTTGAAGTCCTCTAGACCTTTTATAGCACTTACTTGATTCTTGAATGCTTAATGTCTCGGAGTTTCTGTGTGTTATTATTCGATTATTGAAAACTATTTTTGTGATCGTATTAGTATGATTATGCATTTCGAATCCATGCACTTCATGAAACAACAGATCAATGAACGTGCCTAAACAGTCCGCTAGTATAAAATGATTTACTCATACCAGAACACTTAAAACATCAATGTGACATTCGTTTATTGCGGTCAAACGTAAGACTTAATGAATAACGGGATCCAAAAAGCCTTTTGTTGTTGTGTTGTCGAATACCTATTAAACGTCTATTATTCAGTCAGAAGCTTCTAGGAGAAATTTTAAAGAAGTGAAATATTCTTCTTAGTTGATTGTATTGAAACGTTCATCATATTGTTGAATTGATAACATTTCTTGAACTTTTCTCATGAGAGATGATTTAGCATTTAACTACTCCGGTTCATTTAAACCTCGAAATGGAGACGACAACTTGTATAAGTCGGCAGTCCGTGTTAAAAAGTACATTGATTTGAAAAGAAAGATAGTCATTATTGATATATTAAAACATCTTTTTTTGATTTTGATTATTTCAGCGAAATTAATAGGAGTCAAAAGGACTTTTTCGATAAACGTAAATGGTGCAGGTGAGTAAACACTGATTGGTCGTTTGATCACACGCGTGAAACTTTTACACTTACATCTTCACTAACTGTGATTACTCATACTTTGCCTGTTTATTTTAAACAAATCCAACCTTCCAAAATACTGACACAAGAATGAAGGTGCTTCTATTCTGTCAAACGATGGTGGAACTGAATGTGAAATTCACTCATTAATTGAGTACATCCATCGAAACATTGGAAACAATTGAAATGAACTGTGAATGACTGGATTTGACAGGCAATAAATAAGTCATCATGGATAATTGAAATCCCAATCTTATTCCGCTTGTAGGAAAACGAATGCAGAGATTTATTATCATTATAGGTTTGAGTGGAACTTGATAAACAGTCTGTGTCCCAAAATAAATGAATTGTGTTCTACATTGGTGACAAAGCCATTGCTGCACACGTTATATTCATCTACACATCCTTTCATCGCATAGTCATTCCCAAATATTGACGTTGCAAACTGAGAAATCGTTATCTTAAGCTATTCGTTTCTCATCTACAACAGATGGACATTGAAGTCAGAATCAGTTAACCGATAGAAATCTTTATATATATACCACCAATTTATTTCTCAAGTTCAATATATAGACAAACAGTCCTAAGATCATGTCATGCGTACTGAGTGTCTATTGTTTCAAATTCAATTATTCAGGATATTGCGCGAATGTTATTACATCCCTGACTATCAGATCCCCGATGGTAAAGTAAACGATTTATTGTTTTGATAATAGTAATAGAACTTCAGAATCTAGGCATTTGACATTTGTTAGAATTGATTCATGTCCGTCTCATTTCAATGACGTTCACTTCAATGTATTTATTATCAATCCATCTGAAAAAAGCATTTCAAACAACACAGTTAATATCCACTGAAATCTGTCCACAGTGTTACATCAAACAATAACTTGCTCATCGTTTAAATCCTCAATCCTGAGTATCATTATTCTTCTTACTGTAGAGGCTACAGCCACAATGACGAGTTTAATAGACTCAAATGGGAAGATATCGTTGTATTATGATAACGTGAGTTGCATAATTTAGTGAAAATGTGATATTGTTTCAAGTAATTCACATCATTCTACTATTTCATGTTGATCAATATTGTCAGGTTAATCTAGTTACACTGAACACGATAGAAAGAGACCAACATTGTGTAATAGGCAAGCGGACTAGTTGACACTATTGTCAATCCTCTAGTGACACTAATCAAGCAAGTGGTATGAACAGTGAATAATCAGGAGTAAAGTTCTTTCACAAGAAACAATAACCTGTTCGTGCCAAATAGTAACTGGCTGTAAATGTTTGCCTACTATACGGAAAGAGTCATATTCTGTTGAGTTTTATTTCATGTAGTGACGATCGACTGTTCAGAATGTTCACTGTGGAATATCCTGAGTGCAGCATCCTGTCAAATATTCACAATCTCATTTCATTTCAATAGACTGTGATATTCATCTCACAAGTTATCGCCACATATCATGATGGAGAGATAGTTCATAACACTTGACCGAAGTTGACAAGAATATCTATACAGATTGCATTGAACATTCATGGAAAGCAAACTGAGAACATCAGTATGCCTAGTGTGAGTGCGATTAGTTGGCTTTTAATGAGATGATCTAAATGACGATACATTTCTCCAGTAATTATTCGATTTCATATAAATGATTGTGTGGTAGCAGATCTTGTCTCAGACATTTAACAATCTTTTTTCAGATTCCTAAGGAAATCAAGGAAAGTCAGTTGCAATCAAAAATAGTTGGACCAATAATTTGTGGAGATGGTAAGAAATATGTCAGCGAATTATTACTATTATTATTAGCTTTATTTAATATTATATTTTTGGTACAATATAGAATTCTCAGCACAATGTACTTCAGCAAGTTTCCGTTTCTTACTTCTTCGTCCTTCCTGACAATAAATATTTAGTGATCGCCACTTAGAAGTTGGCAGCCCAGTCAATCGACATCTGGATAATGTACATTCTTCTCGCTGCATATTGCCTTCTGCAACTGTTACAGCGAAAGATCTTACTCTTTTCAGAAATACATTTGAATAGGTTGTGCGATCACTAGGCATAATGATGTATCAAAACAAACAAATTAAGATAACTTTTTGAAATATCTAGATGATGGAAACAGTTTGCTCAGACGTTTAAGCAGGCCGAATCTCGTTAACTCTTTGATGTACGGTGACAAACATCCTCAATCACCAGTTAGTTTTATATTACTCTCTACTTGTACCACGTCATGAGCGTGTTATTGAACAAAATTAATCTATCTTATCACAAAGAGCTTTCTAACAGTGAATATTATTCAGTTGCTTCTTGCGTAAAGTCAGTTCGTGGAAATGTCATTTAAGTGTTGAGGCTCACTGTGCAGAATGAAAATGGAATGATTTTCTTAAAAACACTGTCCAGATATTTTAAGAACTTCTTACAGTTATGATTACCGGTAGACTCACCCAGATATGGATATATGAATAACTATATCAAACTCAAAATATATCCACTCATGTATTCACGCACTCACAGTAATACAATCAAACTTACAGCCTTTGATCATTTCAACACTCAATGTTAAAGGAAGTGGGTTTTGTATGTAGCAGAAATAAAGCAGTGCTAGTTTGGAAATGATATTTCATCTACGAAGTGTTCATTCGTCTTGCTTCACTGAAATAAACATGTGTTGTTGAAAGATGAAGGCGAGCTTGAAGAGGAGTTTTTAGTGTACTTGATAAGTGAGATACAGTGTTTATGATTGAATGTGAGAAGGTTAATCAAATGTTCCTCCAGATGTTCTGCATTGACAGGTTTAAGTGCATTGTTGAGTCATTTAAACAATAAAGATAATTGTCATTTTACATTCTTTGGTTCAGTCCCCACATGAGTGATTTGTACTGCAACTGATCAGTCCCTTATTCATATACATGCACTCTGTTGGGATTATCTGGATGTTGCTTGAAGTCATAAGCATTGTGCGTAAAAATGAAATGGAGGAATAGAATTGGAATCAAGTACGGTTTCTAAACATCAATCGGAAGGGTGAATAACAATTCAAAATTGATTTAAAGCTTCATACAGTTTCACAAGTCATTGAGTATATGGACTGACTGGATAAGTGCATAACCGAATGCAAATGGAAATGAATGGTGCCGGCTTTCAGTCCCTGATAAGTCCTAAATAAGCAGAAACGTGCGTCTGAGATTGATATACAAATCACCACTGTTTCTCGATTTGCAGATTTGAATGTTGCCTCCGTGTAATATGCATTGTGAAATAATATGTATGGGGATGAACGCAACTATCCCAGACGTCCAGCTGATTTCATCGTGAATTAACTCAGAAACGTAACTATTTCATTTATAATTTCACGGGCCGGTTTCAATGATCAGAGCGATGTAAACCATAGTTTTTTTTTAAGAAAGTCATCACTCTGTACGTAATGACAAATACTACAGATCCTTGATTTGCCCTCTACTTAAGTGAAGCAAATAAACTTGTTTCGCTTAAAGAAGAACTGGAAATTCTAAATCTCTTTTTCCTTTCAATTTATCACACAAGATTTCGCAAAGCATGAGATACGTGTTCCAGCAAAATGGATCAAAAGTGGTACGTTGGTGGAGTTTGAAGCCATCGGAGGTACGTGCAATTTGATTTAATCGGCACTTACTATTTTCGCACTTGAATACATCATTTTTGTTCGCTGAAAATTGAAAATCCCATGTATCATTTAATAAGTGGTATCCAGGCATGTGTCTCGAATGGCGTTTAACTTACTATTTATAACTACCCGTTGATTCTTTGTTGAATATTAGGCATGATTAACGATCAGATTTCAACTACATTAAAGTTTTCACCTTGTTGAAGTTTACTTGAACATAAAGTAACAAAATGAATAATGGAATGCTTTCGGTTTCGAAAAATATTAGGTGTCAGTAAGCGATTGTGCATTGACAAGGAAATGTTCGTTATTATCTTGATATATATATGATGTAGAACATTTCTGAGTCATTGAAGTTGTCATTGACGATTGGAAGAACGATGTCACTTTTACATTGTTGTTTAATTGAAACAACACAGTTCAATGTAAATTTTGTTTCTATGAACAATCTAGTTTATGGCACTTACCTAATTAACAAAAATGATTTCATGGAAAAAAGGGAATAAACATCAAAATCAATTGCAATACGCTTTGTTGAACTCAGTGACAACGTAGTGTGCGCATGTATGATTGCGAACAGTTATTAAAATTGATCAATTTCCCCTTGTCAAAAAATCGTCACTTGTTCTATGCACTCAAAGTAATTTCATTCAATTCAAAAATGCAGACTTGAAATTGAAGAGAAATTAAAGGTGTACTGAGTTTTGCATGATGCACCATGTTGACCATTTTCCACCGAATGGATAAATCACTTAACTCAGAAATCACCATCACCTCATTGAGTAATATTTACAGGTTTCTTATTTCTCTGTTCTTCTATTCATTAACTTCAAATGAATTCACCTTATTCTTTTCATAGAAATTTGTTCGCAATACAATACAAATGAAACATGCCAAAATGCAGTGATATCGATTTTGACATGTTTTTGGTGTGAAAAAAAGGAGAAATGTATAATAAGTAACCTTCAGGACACTCATGACTGCCGTGTTGAGGTTGGTAATTGGTAAATTTCATATGTCGTTTGCAATAACCTCAAATTTCACATTCTGAGCAATTGTTTTTACTGGAAAAAGTACTTCCATTGCTATCAATAAGAAATGGCATGTTAGCCATCCTCAGTGACTAAATAAAAGCTTTGTATAGGTTGACGACATATGAGTACATGCTTCCTTTTCGTGAAAACAGTAAACAATGAATCAAAGCATCGCTGACCATCATCGTTTCAAAGCGAATTATGTTTTCAGCTCAGTGAATAAACCGTAATTTCGAAAGTCCTTAATGTAATCGTAGATGTATGTCAATGGTAACAATATACTGATGTAACCAGGTAAAGTGAAGAAGCGTTAACAGTTAAAAATTGTGTATCAGATTAGGAGAATTAGTGAAAGTATGTAGACAACCATTGTTGAATCCCGGAACAATGATTATGATACTCTGTAGAAAAATATGTAACCTCAATAGATTGCTTCAATGAAGCTGTACCTTATACGTTTTTTGCTTTATATTCTAGTTGTGATTAGATGTGACATCCAGAACACATATTTCATCACACAAAGGGGTCGTCAACTAGGTGTAGGATCATATTTACTGAGCACACTGATTGTCAAATCGCTAATAGATATCCTGAATGATTTGACGAATTCGAATTCAACAACTATGTATGAGAATCTCTTCTGTCATCATTACTGGGAATGATTTGTAATGATAAATGAATTAAAAGAATGATATTTGATGTTTAGTATTCAATGCTTCTGATTACATTTTTTAGAAGAACTCGAATGTCAACGATTTGAATATTTCAACAAATATGAGGCCAAGTAAAACAACATTGGGGATCACTGAGGTTCAGGTTAGTGAAAACCTCATGAAAACTACTGAAGAAACAGATAAACAATCGGTAAATATTTGATATTTGTTAAAAACTGATAATTCTTTGTTTTTCTTTAGAATAGAACTACCAGGACAACGGAAGAAAATAAGCAATACAAGTCACATTGGTACTTGTACGTTGTAATTCCTTTGGTCGCCTCTCTGTTTCTTATATGCATTGGTTGTATAATTTGGAGATGGTTACTTAGAAGAAAGAGAAGTAATGGATGATCCATGAAAAAGTCTTATAAATTGCTTTGAATACTCTGAACAAGTTGACTCAATTATGCTTTTCATTAGAATACTTTAGAATTTCATTTGTCTTCTTACTAATTTGGACAGTTATTTCTTTGTACATGCTTTTGATTGTTATCATGATAGCTGATGTTATCCTTTTTTATGAAATAATAAACACTGTTTTGTCAATATTCGCGTTATCGCTTTCATATAATTCAAGGTGCATTATATCACATGAGTTGTGCAAATTAAACTCGTAAGTACGTGGCATTACGCATAAGTGATTTCGTGATCATTGCAGTCAACTATGAGTCCGGTGTGAGTGTTGATTTTGATGGAGTGATCTGTCGAAACACTTTATCAATACCTAGATAAACTTTTCCATATTTCGTTACTTGATTAATACGTATTAGGTAAATAATGAGCGACAAACTATGGTTATAGAGGTGTCATCAAGACGGATTATGATTCCTTCTATGACTTTATTATTGATATTTGTATGATAAGGTCAAGGGCTTTTTTCAAAGCTTTCTCTTGAAAATAATGTTAACTAGAAGATTTTTTATTAATCAGCATCACAAAAGAGCCTTACGGTTTGAATGATGATTCGATGGCTACATGCGAGAACAGTTCACGTGATATAGGATTTCAGCGTTGCACATGGAATTCCAGCTTTACGAGGCACTCACAGTCTGAAGTCGACACTGAACCTATTTTTAGTCATTTTAATTATATTGAAGTGCTTTAACGTTATAGCACATTGCAAATAGAGATTGTCGTTGTCCAGATACTCAATGTAGTTGGACGCAAGCTGAAGAGCAATGACTGGATACGGAAAACATGCTGCTGTACTCCGATCACGAAGAGGAAAAATGGTTCACACACTCAGAGAGTTGCTCTAATGCTGTCCAGAGAAGTACAAAATGCACTTGTAGAATGGGAATCTCATGGATCCGAAATTATCAAAGCATCATTGAAAACAATAAAGGAGGGGATCCCAATAAATGTTACCCG